CCTTCCTTCCTTCCTTCCTTCCTTCCTTCCTTCCTTCCTTCCTTTCTTCTTTCTAGATTTATGTTATTTATTTGAAAGAGTTACAGAGAGAGGTCTTCCATCTGGTTGGAGCTGCACCGATCTGAAGCCAGGAGCCAGGAGCTTCTTCTGGGTCTCCCACGTGGGTGCAGGGGCCCGAGCGCTTGGGCCATCTTCCACTGCTATCCCAGGCCACAGCAGAGAGCTGGACTGGAAGAGGAGCTGTCAGGACTAGAACTGGTGCCCATATGGGCTCCCAGCACCACAGGCGGAGGGTTGACCTGTTGAGCCATGGCGCCGGCCCCAGTGTGATCTAATGTTAAGGCTGAAGAAATCTAAGAGGTGACTGATCCATGGGCGAGTTTTCCCTTCAGCATGGATGCTGTGTTCCTGTCACCTGCGCTTCCTGACGTGCTCTTCTCTGGTGCCCTGCGGGTGCTGTCCCACCCTCCCAGCCTCTGGGCTGCTCCCTCCCCTTTCTCTGTCTGCCGCACACATGCATCTGCACCAGGAAGTCTTCCTGGCCTCCTCTGCTCTCGTGTCCTCGACGTGGCTAACACTCTGGTCTCGGCGTGCTGGACACAGATGCAATCCTGTTGTTCTCTATTCTTTTGTCAGGGCAGACTCGTGCTGTAATGCTCAGATTCTGCAGAGGGACCAACCCAGAGTGCCTGAAGGTGCCCATGATAAGACAGAGATGCCAGTGCAATTTTGTCTTCAAGGCCCTTCCTGTTGTAAGGCAGAGAAGCTCGTTAGCTAGAACAGACAGAGGCTTACTGGCTCCTGGACTTAGGGGCAGGAGGTCGGGTCAGCCTCTGGAAGAATGGAAAAAGGACAGAGTGAACAGCTGAGGCTGCCCTGCCCTGTCATGCACATTTCTCACTGCATCCAACTCGTGTGCGTGCACGTGCGTGCGTCCATGCACATGTGTGTCTGTCCTGGTTTCTGTCTGTGATGTCTCCACTCTACCCCTTATCTCTGCTTGCCCTCTTTGTTAGCAGTTCATTCAACAGATCTTTACTGAATGGCTTGCTCTGTGCCAGGCGCTTTTTAAGTCATGATACACGAGTTGTGAGAAAAAGGAGTCCTTGTCCCTGTGAGACTTGGAGTGGGGAAAATGGACAATAAACAGCTAAGCAAATGAGTAGTAAAATATCTTTTGTGTTTTTTTTGCTGTGAAGGGAGTAGAACAAGGTGAGTGGATGTAAATGGCGGCTACTAGATAGGCCAATCAGGAGCTGAGATCTAAGTAAGAAGGAGCCAGCCATGGACTAGCCTAAGGATGAGACCTAGGCAGAGGGCACAGAGGTGCAGAGGCCTTGAGCTGGGGCAGGGTGATGTCAGGGACAAAGAAGGCTAGCTTGACTGTCAGGAGGCGAGAGGTGGGTGAGGCTGGAGAGCTCGGGAGGAGCCGGCTTGTGTGGGTGTCTTGGTGTCTGTGACTGGGGGCAGTTGGCCATCCCAGCTCTCAAGTGGAAATGCTCTCCTGTTGGAGTCACCATTTGGCACAGTGGTTAAGATGCTATATCCCATATTAGAATGCCTGGTTCATGTCCTGCCCCCTCTGCTTCTTGCTGAAGGCACCCTGGGAGGCAGCATATGATGGGTCAAGTAGTGGGAATGCTGCCACCCATGCAGGAGATCTGGATTGAGTTCTAGGCTCCTGGCTTTGGCCTAGCCCAGCCCTTGGCTGTTGCGGGCACTTGGGAAGTGAAGCAGCAGAGGGAAGATCTCTCTTGGTCTCTTTGTCTCTCTGTCTTTCAAATAAGATGGAGATAAATAATGATCATTAAACATGCCCTCTCATTTCAAGCTGTCACGGCACCCACCATCTCCACTCTGATCCTGATTCCTGGGGAGATGATGAGACTGGCCCTGTGAGGGGCCACTCTGGCAAGTAGCCCAGCACTGTCCACATGCGAACATCGACTGTTGGGCGTCCAATGTATTACAACTTGTTTGGAGAACAGTTGGTGTGACTCAGTGAAGCTGAAGGTGCTCGTACTGCATGGCTCTCAGCCGTTCTCTGCCTGGCTGGGTGTGTGTGTGTGTCCCAGAGAACAGTCCCAGCGCGTGAGGGAGCTGTTCAAGAGGTTGCCACGTGCTGTTGGTACACTGGAGGGGCATGGCTGAGTGCCGTGCGGCGTGCCCGTGGAACGGAACGCTTTGCAGATGTGTGGCCTGAATTGTATGATGTGGTTTAACCTAACATGAGCTACCTGTGTAACTCAGCGTGGAGAAATCGCTAAGCCTGTCATTAAAAGAAAAAAGAAATCAAATTACAGAAGCATTAAGACAGAATAATATTTAAAGTCTTTGTAGGGGCCGGTGCTGTGGCACAGCAGATTAACGCCCTGTCTGAAGCGCTGGCACCCCATATGGGCGCCGGTTCGAGACCTGACTGCTCCACTTGTGATCGAGCTCTCTGCTGTGGCCTGGGAAAGCAGTAGAAGATGGCCCAAGTGCTTGGGCCCCTGCATCCATGTGGGAGACCCAGAAGAAGCTCCTGGCTCCTGGCTTTAGAACAGTGCAGCTCTTCTGGCCATTTTGACCAACTGGGGAGTGAACCAGCAGAAGGAAGACCTCTCTCTCTCTCTCTCTCTCTCTCTCTCTCTCTCTCTCTCTGCCTCTCCTCTCTCTGTGTAACTCTGACTTTCAAATACATAAATAAATTTAAAAAAAAGTCTTTGTATCTCTCAAACAGAATTTGAGTAATATTAATAATGGAGACAAGTATGTAGTAAAAATACAAAGTTTTGAAAAATGTAACATTTTTTTCTAAAAAATGTATTCTAGCAACAAAGGTACTGCAGTCACTGTACATATTTCAAGGAAATAATTCATTTCCCTATGATGATTACTTGTATGGAAGGTCTTTAGTATATGTGCGTAGAGAACAGTGTGCAAAGCAAGAGTATGTGTTCCATCCAACGGTGGATTCTACCCATTTGTAGTAATTCAGCTTTCATTGAATTCTGAGTGATGAGCATTTCCATGATAAATTATTTGTATATGTTAAATAGCCGCAGAGCCCAAATGTTACTTGCTGCTTATATTTTTTAAAATGCTTATTTTATTTTTATTTATTTAAAAGTAGAAAGAGAGAGCGCGCATATCTGCTGGTTCACTCCCCCAAATGCCTATAGCACCCAGGGTTAGGCCAGGCCAAAGCCAAGAGCTTGGCCCCCCATCTGGGCATTTGGTGGCCCAGATAATTGAGCCATCTTCTGCCTTCTTTTTTTTTTTTTTTTTTTTTTTTTTAATTTTTGACAGGCAGAGTGGACAGAGAGAGAGACAGAGAGAAAGGTCTTCCTTTGCCATTGGTTCACCCTCCAATGGCCGCCGCGGCCGGCGCGCTGCGGCCGGCGCACCGCGCTGATCCGATGGCAGGAGCCAGGAGCCAGGTGCTTTTCCTGGTCTCCCATGGGGTGCAGGGCCCAAGCACCTGGGCCATCCTCCACTGCACTCCCGGGCCACAGCAGAGAGCTGGCCTGGAAGAGGGGCAACCGGGACAGAATCCGGCGCCCCGACCGGGACTAGAACCTGGTGTGCCGGCGCTGCTAGGCGGAGGATTAGCCTAGTGAGCCGCGGCGCCGGAATAGTTACAGAGAGGCAGAGGCAGAGAGGGGGAGAGTGAGAGAGAGAGGTCTTCCATGTGCTGGTTCATTCCCTAAATGGCCAGAGCTGGGCCAGTCCAAAGCCAGGAGCCAGGAGTGTCTTCCAGGTCTCTCAAGCGGGTGCAGGTGCCCAAGGTGTTGGGCCGCCTTCTGCTGCTTTCCCAGGCCACAGCAGAGAGCTGGATCGCAAGTGGAGCAGTCAGTTCTCGAACCGGCGGCCATATGGAATACTGGCACTGCAGACAGCAGCTTTTCCCACAAGGCCACAACACCGGCCCCTGGAATACACTTTTCTTTTCTTTCTTTTTTTTTTTTTTTTTACAGGCAGAGTGGACAGTGAGAGAGAGAGAGACAGAGAGAAAGGTCTTCCTTTGCCGTTGGTTCACCCTCCAATGGCCGCCGCGGCCTGCGTGCTGCGGCCGGCGCACCGCGCTGATCCGATGGCAGGAGTCAGGAGCCAGGTGCTTCTCCTGGTCTCCCATGGGGTGCAGGGCCCAAGCACCTGGGCCATCCTCCACTGCACTCCCTGGCCACAGCAGAGAGCTGGCCTGGAAGAGGGGCAACCGGGACAGAATCCGGCGCCCCGACCGGGACTAGAACCCGGTGTGCCGGCGCCGCTAGGCGGAGGATTAGCCTAGTGAGCCGCGGCGCCGGCCTGGAATACACTTTTATATGGGGTACTGATGTCATAGGTGACAGTGTCACACTGGCCCCTTGCTGCCTTCTCTTGATCATAGTATTTGTATAAGGATAATTGTGTCTTTATTATACTGTTATTAAACAGTAGCAAAGTCAACAGAAATAAAATGTTCATTCTTGAGCATTATCCTGTGCTTAGACTCTTGGGAAACTGAGTGTGTCATGTTGAACGGTATTTCCAGTGCTTTCAGTAAATGTCTGCTATGATAGTTTTGCTGTTGACAGTAATATACTGTCATGAATCTGGCTTTTGAGCAGATATTGTACTTTCTCATCATGGAAGATTGAAAGTGGGCCTTCCTTGATGACAGGAATAGTGTACCTCTCTTAGGCAGACAGCCAAAGATACCGTTTGTGTGTTTGTTTTTAATCTTTAATGATTTTGAAAATTCTAGGTAGAAGTAATGACAGCAGAGAAAGTATATCCAAGTTGTATGGCTCTTTGCTCGTCTCCAGTATGGAAACAAATTATTTACTGGCAAGTGAATGGCTTTGTGAACAAGAATGGTATGTGGTATGAATTTCAGAATCAGGGAGGGTTGATATTCTATTGTTTATTTATTTTTAAAGATTTATTCATTTATTTGAAAGAGAGAGAGAGAGAGAGGTCTTCCATCCACTGGTTCACTCCTCAAATGGCTGCAACAGTCAGAGCTGGGCCAGTCTGAAGTCAGGAGCCAGGAGCTTCTTCCAGGTCTCCCACACAGGTGCAGGGGCCCAACTACTCGGGCCATCTTCTCCTGCTTTCCGAGGCCACAGCAGAGAGCTGGGTTGGAAGTGGAGCAGCCAGGACTCTAACCAGCGCCCATACGGGATGCTGGCCCTGCAGGCTTTATCTGTTATGCCATAATGCAAGCCCCGGTTGTTTATTCTGTACCACTGTGGAGTGCGGTTGTAAAAATGGGACAGTTACCAGAACATGGTCCACTTTCCTCAGGGAAAGTCATGTTGGAGACCAGCCCTCCTGAGCTTTAACGCAGGCACAACAGGTTAGGTGGTTTGGGCTTTGCTGCATTTTATACACACAGACACATGGTAGCACTGGCCATGTGGGATTTGCCTCAAGATGACTTCAGGGCACAGGAGTGGGAAGTAGGGGGATGTCCACCTGGCACAAGACAGGCTCTGGGTTGGTCATTGTTGAGCCTGGGTGATGGGTGACACTGAGGAATCCTGATATTATTCCTTCTGCTTGCATGCATGTTTGCAGTTTTCGTGACACAAAGGAAAACAAAAGCTAGTCTTCCTTTATCCTAGAGTTACTTTCAGAGTGGTGATATGTGAGATTCCCAGTGAGAGCCGTGTGGTAGCCAGCAGGTGAACGGTTCATTCCCCATGCCTGCGGACCCTGGGCCTGAAGTGCAATCGCAGGTGGATGGTCGTTCTCCCTCCCCGATGCTTGTGGGCTGAATTCACTGGTGATGTTTCGTTTTCTGTGGAGACGTCTCAGCTGAAAAGTCAGGACAGATAACCATGGGAACTGAAATCCCCATGCTCAGCTGGTGGTGTCTAAATGGTGAGCCTTTGGGAGTCAGGGAGGAAGGGAGCAAGCTGGAGGCACTTGGGAGTGGAGGTGCCGTAGGAGGCAGAGCCTGTAGAAGTGATAGTGCTATGGGTGTGGCCTACCGACGGAAGGCTGAGCAGCCTGGAGGTAGGTTTGGTCTGCAGGGCCCAAGGGAGGGATCTTAACTACTATTTTTTTTTTCAAACATTAATTTACTTATTTTAAAGGCAGAATTAAGAGAGGCAGAGAGAGAGAGAGAGGCCTTCTATCTGCTGGTTTATTCCCCAGATGACCACAACAGCCGGAGCTGCACCGATCTGAAGCCAGGAGCCAGGAGCTTCTTGTGGGTCTCCCACGTGGGTGCAGGGCCCAAGCACTTGGGCCATCTTCTACTGCTTTCCCAGGCCACAGCAGAGAGCTGGACTGGAAGAGGAGCAATCAGGACTTGAACCAGCGCCCATACGGGATGCCAGCACTGCAGGCGGCAGCTTTATCTGCTGTGCCATGGTGCTGGCCCCCTTAATCACTATTAAAGCATTTAAAAAAAATTTTATTTGCGAGGCAGATAAAGAAGGGGAGAGAAAGGAAGAAATGGAAAGGCAGGAGAGCAAGTGAGTGAGTGAACTCGCATGTGCTGGTTTGTTTCCCAGTGCCTGAAATAGGGCAGGAGGCTGAAGCAGGGAGCTACGAACTGAATTCAAGTCTCCCATGTGGGAGGTAGGAACCCAGTTACTTGAGTTAACACCATTGCCTTCCAGGGCGTGAATTGGCAGGAAGTTGGAGTCAGGAGCAAAGCTGTGTATTAAACCCAGGTACTCCAGTATGAGACATGGGCATCTTAACTGCTGGGCCAAACACCTGTCCTCAGAGGCAGCCTCTGCCGGGCAGCAGGCCCGTCTCAGAGGAGTAGGTTCAGAACAGGGCTCCTAGAGCCAGAGCCACAAGGCCGCCTTTTCCTGCTGCGCCCTGTGGGTGACGTTGGGCAGCCCTGTGGTAGCTTTGGGATCCGCAAGGAGGGAAGGCCTACACTTCCAGGAATGGAGAGTCTCTACCTGCACTTCCTGGGAAGAAAAGTCCTTGTCAAGGTCCCTGCAGGTGCCTAAAGGTCAACCAATGAGGGTCAGACCCGCCTCAACCTTTAACCCCCACGCCCTGAATCTATAAAAGGAGCTCTCCCAATCTGTGACTCGAGACTTCCCTGGCCCCCGGCTCTGTTGGGACCAGGGAACCTTGCCTGGGAGTGGAATCCCAATAAAAGCTTGTGAATTAATTGATTCGTCTGCCTGGGAAGATTTGTTACACGCCCGACACCTTGCACCCTGCACTGTGTCTTGGAGCCTCATTGGCAGGGTGATGATAGTAAAAATTAGTAGCACATGGGTGTGAAGTATTTCATTTTAAAAAATTGACTATTTTCATTTAATTTGAAAGGCAGGGAGACAGAAATCTCCCACGTGCTGGCTCACTTCCCAAATGCTGGCAACATTTCAGCCGGGCTGGGCCGGGCAGAAGTCAAGAGCCCAGAACTTAATCTGGGTCTCCCACATAGGTGGCAGGAACCCAGGTACTTGAGCCATCACCTGCTGCCTGCCAGGGAATGCCTTAGCAGGAAATTGGTTTGGAATCGGATTAGCTGGAACTCCGTCCAGCACTCCAATATGGAATGCAGATGTACCAAGCAGTGACTTAACTGCTGTGCCACATGCTTGCTCTCTAAGTATTTTATTATTTTTTAAAAGATTATTTATTTGAAAGTCAGAGTCAGAGAGATTTTCCATCTCCTAGTTCACTCCCCAGACGGGCCAGGAACCAGGAGCCTCCTCTGGGTCTCCCACAAGGGTGATAGGGGCGCAAGCACTTGGGCCATCTTCCACTGCTTTTCCCAGGCCATTAGCAGGGAGCTGGACTGGAAATGGAACGGCTGGGACTCAGACCTGTGTCCACATGGGATGTCGGGACCGCAGCAGCAGCTTTACCTGCTCTGCCGCAATGCCAGCCCCGCGAAGTACGTTAAGTTGCCCACTGACCCTGTCTGGGACAAGAGGACAGCTGCTAGTGTTTTCTGAGTCGGTCTGATGCGTTGTTAGGATGGGGGAGTTTTTGAGGTCAGACAGACCTGGTTTCAAAATACTAGCAATACCACCTTCCCTGAGACTGGGGGGGCTGTCCTTAGCCTTTGGGCTGGTGTTGTAATGTGTGTGTGAGAGAGGACACATGCTGGCAGTTAGGATTAGCTCCCTTAATGCACCTGAAGTGCGTCCCGCAGCCCTGGGCCCCAGCACTCAGTCCCCATTAACAGCTCCTAGGAGTGGCGTGGGGTCCTGGGGGAGGCACGGCAGGGTCTGCGGATGCACCGGTGTTAGTTTCTGCTGCTTCTGAGTGGGCGGGTTGGCACTTTGGGAGCGTGTGCTGCAGTGGTGTTAGGGCCTTGGCTGGTTTATCGCCCCTGCACTACACTGGCAGATAGCTGATTTTACACCCTGCTTCCTAAGGGGCAGCAAGTATGGTCTCCATTGCATGGAGGCAGAGGTGCTGGCCGCCCGGTGGGCTGCTGGGGAGGCGGTGGAATCCAGATCTCCGGCTGCAAGGATGAAAGGAAACGCCGCGGTCAGCTAGCGTGTTTTAAGGAAGGGTGGGGCTAGCGTGCGTCCCTCCCTGCTTTTTGCGGTAGTGTCTTTGGGCTACAGCCGTAGTACATGGGATGGTTTAAAACAGTGGGAATTTATTCTCCCACAGGTTGGGGCCAGAGGTCTGAAATTGAGGTGTTAACCCCCTGGGAGCCATGGGGAGTCTTTTCCCTCCTCTAGTTTCTGACAGCGACCTGCAGAGCTGAGCACACCTTGACTTGCAGGCGCTTCAGCCGAGCCCTGTGGCCTCAGCACAAGGCCGTCTTCCCTGTCTCGAGTCTGTCTCCAGTAAGGATGCAGTCATAGTGGATTAGGAACCCTTCTTTTACAGAATGATGTCATCTTAGCCAGTGGCATCTGTGACAGCCCTGCTTCCAGACGCAGTGCACTCCCTGAGCTGCTGGGAGTTCGGACTTCCGCATCCACGGGGGTGGGGGTCTCTGAGCTGTTTTGCTGACCTGTTAGCATAGCATATGTAAGCCTTTCAGCCCCAGTGTGCCTTAATTCCAGGTGCCTTTCTTGGCAGTGGGTGTTGGTGAGAGCAGGGTGTTGACTCAGTGTGACTCAAGGCATGGCCTGGACCTGGCATTGTGGTATAGCAGTTAAGCCACTCCCTGTGGTGCTGTCATTCCGTAGGGGTATGGGTTCAAGACCTGGCTGTTCCACTTCCAATCCAGCTTCCTTCCAGTGTGCCTAGGAAAGCAGTAGAAGATGGCCTAAGTCCTTGGGCCCCTGCACTCACATGGGAGACCGGATGAAGCCCCAGGCTTCTGGCTTTGGCCTGGCCCAGCCCTGGCTGTTGTGGCCATGTGAGGAATGAACCAGCAGATGGAGGATCTCTCTCTCTCTCTCTTTCTCTCTGTCCTCTATCTCTCTGTAACTCTGCCTTTAAAATAAATTAATCTTAAAAAAAAAAAAAAAAAAGAGATGGCCTGAGAAAGGGTACTTACACTGCCCACAGAACTGTCTCAGCTGAGGCTGTCTGTCAGCTCCCTGTCCGCGGCTCCGTGGGTGTCTGAGGTGGTCTCACAGAGGTAGATTTCTGCCTGGGCTCCCAAATGTTAGGACTCTACTCCATGCTGAAGGATTCCTTAGAGTCCCTTGTAAGGAGCCCCTGTATTAGCTCTATATTACAGCTGCAGGTGTCTGTCCTTTCTACACACACAAGGCCATCCTGAAGGAAGGGACAGTGAAAGTAACCCCTGGGGATGGCGCTGCGGCATAGCTGGTAAAGCTGCCGCCTAGCAATGCCGGCATCCCACATGGGCGCTGGTTCTAGTCCGGCTGCTCCACTTTTGATCCAACTCTCTGCTATGGCCTGGGAAAGCAGTAAAAGATGGCCCAAGTCCTTGGACCCCTGCACCCATGTGGGAGACCTAGAAGAAGCACCTGGCCCCTGGCTTTGGATTGGCGCAGTACTGGCCATTGCGACCAATTGGGGAGTAAACCAGTGGATGGAGGACCTCTCTCTCTCTCTCTCTCTCTCTGCTTCTCCTTCTCTCTCTTTGTAACTCTGACTTTCAAATAAATAAATCCTTAAACAAAAAGTAACCCCTAATTGTGAAGAGGTTATTATTTTTTTAAAAGATTTTATTTATTTGAGAGTTACAGACAGTGAGAGGGGGAAACAGAGAGAAAGGTCTTCTGTCGTTGGTTCACTCCCCAAATGGCCGCATTGGCCGGAGCTGCGCTGATCCGGAGCCAGGAGCCAGGGGCTTCTTCCCAGTCTCCCATGTGGTGCAGGGGCCCAAGGAGTTGGGCCATCTTCCACTGCCTTCCCTGGCCATAGCAGAGAGCCAGATTGGAAGAGGAGCAGCCGGGACCAGAACCGGCGCCCATATGGGATGCTGGCACCACAGGTGGAGGTTTAACCTACTGTGCCGTGGTGCCGGCCCCTTTTATTGATTTTTTTAGGCTACATTGATTTTGCCTTTGGATCCTGCATTGGACAGAGGAAGGGTTTACTGTACTTTTTAACATATTTATCACATTTTGCAGGTTTTTCTTAGTTAAGTTTTAGTGGAATGCTTATAATATTTTCCTGGTCGTGGATCAGTGAAGCTGTACTTCAGACTTTGGTTGGGCAGAGACTGTCCAGTTTTCTGAGGATTATGAAAATTCCTGACATCCATCACTGCCTCAGGGTCTGCACGGTGATGCATGTGGCATGTCCTGGGGACAGGACTCGGAGCAGGACCGCCCCGTGCCTGCTGGCAGGTACACCTTGCTGTGTGTGTGCCGCCCGGGCTCTCAATACGTGCTGCAACGTGGGTGTCAGGGCCCTAGCTTACAGTACATCTCCTGTCCTCTGTAGCTGTGGGCAGAAGGCTCTTCCTAGTTTAGACTTTCCTGTGAGCTGACTTCGCCCAGATGGATGGTTTTCAGGTGGGTCCCCGAGCATCAGCTGCACTAAGATGAACGTGGAGGCCAGCCGAGTCAGTCAGTGGGGCAGGCCCCTCTTGTCCCTGCTTGATCAGCCCTCTTGGAGATTGTGATGCAGCTACAGGGTGAGAGCTGTGGGTCTGAGTGTCTCCCAATTCTGTATCCTTTGATGTTGCGCTGAACTGATTTCTAATAACAGTGTCATCATTCTGGCTCTTGCTCCGATGGCTACAGTTGCTTCCTTCTCAGTTTTATACCAGCCTTCAGTGTGTCTTTTCTTAGAGCATTCGTTGATTATTAAACACGACCCAAGATGGGGAGTTACTTTGGAGAAATGAGCATTTGGAAGTTACACACTTCAATAAAAATTAGTAGTGTCAATATTTGCGATCTTTACAGAACACATGCACTAGGCACTTCCGTTCTTGCAGGTCGATCTAGAGTAGGGTTGGTAGGAGGCTCCCCGCTTCCCCTCAGCTTTGGCTGTGATCACTTGTGTTGAGACTGATGGAGAATTAAATTGTTCTAGATATGGGGCTCTGCTGGTTTGTTGCGGTTTGGTGCTTTAGTCAGTTGAAATCTTGGGTACTGAATTGCTTTTATTTTTCATTCATTTTTGTGCCTGAATGAAAATCTTGAAAATTTATCTCTTATATTAAAATGTTTCCATTTTAGTGTCGGAAAGATGATGATGGAGACACGATTGTTGTTGAAAAGGACCATTTTATGGACGATTTCTTCCATCAGGTAAGAGTGTTTAGTGAAACCCAATCATGTATTTCATTCTTTAAATGTGTTAGATCAGTGTGACTGTGCATTTGCCCTATTTGAAATGATATTGAGATGAATCTATTTTTAACATTGCTGTTTGAATTATGCAAGCTCTATCAAAATATTAGCATTGAGGAAAGTGTCAACTCACTGTGCCTGATAATGGCCCAGGAGGGATTGGTGTGGCTTGGAAGCCCCTCCCCAGATGAGGAGGTCTTGGGATGTGCGTTGTCTGTGGCCGTGTCTGTCAGCGACTTGTCCCCAGCTGGTACCAGATAACACTTCCTCCAACCTTCCACACTCCTTGGCGGCTTTGTAAATGTGCTCACCACGTGACCCATGGCTTCTCAGGCCTGGGGCCTGGTCCTTCGGAGGTGGAGTCAGGCAGTGGAGGTGTTGCTGGGCGCCTGGCTGCATGGCTAGAGGGGATCCCTGTGGGCAGTCGCTGAGACACGAAGCTCGTGTGGCACTTCTGGGATCTTCTGTGCAGCAAGTCACAGGTGAACTAGTGACTGAGATCTGAGACGTGGTGATGTTCAGCTATACGACCGTGGGTGTTCTGCTCAGCCAGTGCCATCGGTCAGTTTGGCCTGTACTTGAGGTGGAGCCCACGGCCCACGCCTGGACCTGTGTCCCTCAGAGGTGCGCCTGGTGCCTCCTTACTGCCTTTCCCCTCCCTCTTGTCCCCTGCTGGCTGCTCTGAGGCTTACCCGTGCTTATTGGTACGTCACAGTTTTTGAAATTGCATCACAGGACTGATGATGCTGTGTTATAGTAGGTTAAGCCTCTGCCTGTAGTGCTGGCATCTCATATGGATGCTGGTTCAAATCCCAGCTGCTCCACTTCCAATCCAACTTCCTGCTAATGCACCTGGGAAAGCAGTAGAAGATGGCCCAAGTACTTGGGTCCCTGCACCCATGTGGGAGACCCGGATGAAACTCCAGGCTCCTGGCTTCGCATCGGCCCTGCAGATAGAAGACCTCTCTCTCTCCCTCTCCCTCTCTCCCTCTCTCCTTCCCTCCCTCTCTCCCTCCCTCTCTGTAACTCTGCCTTTCAAATAAGTAAATAAATCTTAAAAAAAGAAAAGAAATTGAGTCACAAATACTTGATTTTGTCGAACATGAAGTAGAGAAATGTGTGCAGTTAACGGTGAAAGCGTCATTGTGGCTTTGGTTTTGATTAGGCTGAATGTTGTTGCATACTTCCAGTTGGGTTCTAAACCAGCTGACAGGCACAGCCACCCTGTAAGTGCATGGATATGATGCTAATAAAAATGTTTTAAAGTTACCAGTTTTTTCAGATTCAGCTAGAATTTCTTGAATCCCTAGCATGAGCCTTCTCATTGGTTTCTAAGAGTTTGTTCCTCATTTTATCTAATGGGAAAACCTTGAGATTAAATCATTAGAAAATTTACTGATAGTAGTATCAAAACTTCAGTTACTGGATTTCCTGTTTTCACTTCTTGGAAATGAGACTCTTTATTGTTTTAGTCTCCCTGCCCACTTTGTCCAGTTATTACAGTCTGGATGCATCCCTTTTACTTGGCACTGAACTCCTCCGTGCAAAGTGTTATTAACATGCATTTCTCATTTTAAAGTATCTCCTGGCGCTGACTACTGTTGCTGTATTTGGTAGAGAGTGACATGTACCAGTTCCCTGAATTCCATTTGGCTGAGCCCTGGTTGATGTGGGCCTACTCTGCCTCTGCAGCTGGGGTCTCAGGGACACACAAAGATAGGCCACACTTGATTTAGGAAGGGTTGAGAGTGATCAGCCTTGTTTGGATTCTAACTGCAGTTCAAGCTTTCATTTGCTTAAAAAAAAAAAAACAAAACAAACAAAACAGCTATTTTTTGAAATGACTCTTAGATGAATAGAGAAGGAAATGATGTTTGTTAACACAAAGTCATTTTTCAGAAATGGCCTTCAGATCTTAAATTTCACAGAGATGTGGATTTTGTACCAGATCAACCTGTGTGTGTGTGTGTGTGTTAAGATTTATTTATTTATTTGAGAGGCAGAGTTAATAGAGCAGGAGAGAGAGAGAAAGGTCTTTCACCGGATGCTTTGCTCCACAAATGGCCACAATGGCTGGAGCTGGGCCAATCTGAAGCCAGGAGCTGGGATAAGAACTAGTACCCATATGGGATGCCGGTGCCACAGGCGGAGGATTAGCCCACTACGTCACAGAGCCAGCCCCTAGATCAACCAGTGTTTAAAGACTAGAGTTGGCCTCTAAAGAGTAGTCACAGAATGGCCTTTTTTGTTTTTTAAGATTTATTTATTTTATTTGAAAGGCAGAGCTACGAAATAAAGGAATGGGGAAAGAGAGAAAGAGAGAGAGAGAGAGACGAGACTTCCATCTGCTGGTTCACTCCGCAGATGCCACAATGGCCAGGGCTGGGCTGATCTGACTGAAGCTAGGAACCTGGATCTTCTTCCAGGTCTCCCAAGTGAGTGTAGGGACCCAAGCACTTGGGCCATCTTCTGCTTTCCCAGGCCATTAGCAGGGAGCTGGATCGGAAGTGGAACAGCTGGGTCTTGAATGGAGATTCTTCCTGGTCTCCCACGCAGGTGCAGGGGTCCGAGGACTTGGGCCATCTTCTATTGCTTTCCCAGGCCACAGCAGAGAGCTGGACTGGAAGAGGAGCAGCCAGGACTAGAACCGGGGCCATATGGGATGCCGGCGCTTCAGGCCAGGGCTTTAACCCGCTGCACCACAGCGCTGCCCCCCCCCCCCCCCCCCCGACCTTTTCAAGAGGCTCCTGCAGTCAGGACTGTTTTCTTGGTGATTCTGAGGTGCTGTCTGCTGTTCCCACTGTAAGTCTCAGGGATGTATCCTTGGAGCTTCAGAAGCAACTGCTAAGCACACAAAGACATCGTTGCGATAGCTGTTTTTGCACCAAAATAAATTTAACTTTTAATTTCCCTTTTCTTCCAACGTTTAAAATATTTATTCATTATTTATTTGAAAGGCAGAAAGAGACAGTGCTCTTCCATCTGCTAATTTTTTTTTTTTAAGATCTGTTTATTTACTTGAAAGTCAGAGTTACACAGGGAGAGAAGGAGAGAGAGAGAGAGAGGTCTTCCATCTGCTGGTTCACTCTGCAGTTGGCTGCAATGGCCAGAGCTGTGCTAATCCGAAGCCAGGAGTCAGGAGCTTCTTACGGGTCTCCCATGTGGGTACAGGGGCCCAAGGTCTTGGGCCATCTTCTACTGCTTTCCTAGGCCAAAGCAGAGAGCTGGTTTGGAAGTGGAGCAGCGAGGACTCGAACTGGCGCCCGTGTGGGATTCTGGCACTGCAGGAGGCAGCTTTACCTGCTAAGCCACTGTGCCGGCCTCCCATCTGCTAATTCACTCCCAGATGCCCTCATCAGCTGGGACTGGGACAGTTTGAAGTCAGGAACCTGGAACTTCATCGGCGTCTCCAATGTAAGGGGCAGGGACCCAAGTACTCGAGCCATCACCTGCTGCTTCCTTGGGTATGCATTAACAGGAAACTGGAATTAGAAGTGGAACTGGGACTCGAACCCAGGGACTCTGATATGGGTTGCAGTGTCGTAACTGCTGCGCTAAATGCCCACCTCTCATTCAACATTTTGAAGTCTCATATGAAAATCAGTTTCCCTTCTATTAAGTTAGAAATTACAGGTACCAAAAAATGTGTACCAGTGCTCCTATTTCACCAAGTGTTTTTGGAAAATACTTTTTAAAAAATGTGTTTTTTTATTTGAAAGGCAGAGTTAGAAGGAGAGACAGAGATCTTCTGTCTGCTGGTTCATTCCCTAAATGGTTGCAACAGCTAGGGCTGATCCAAGTCAAAACCAGGAGCCAGGAACTCCATCTGGGTGTCCCACATGGGTGCAGGGGCCCAAGCATGTGGGCCATCTTCTGCTGCTTTCCCGGGTGCATTAGCAGGGGGCTGTGGAAGTAGAGCAGCTGGGACTCAAATCGGCACTCACATGGGATGTTGGCATTGCAGGTGGCAGCTTCACCCGCTGGATCACAACACCAGGCCCTGGAAAATACTTGCTCATAATAAAAATGTGTTTGTTAACATGTTTCCTGTTGCTGCTATAACAGATTACCACAGAGCTGGTGCCCTGAGACAGCACTTGGTTACTGTCTTAGCGTTCTGCAGGCCACCAGTGTGCATACGGGAAAATGCAGGGCTGTGTCCTCTCCCTTCTCAGCTCTGAGGAACTCGTGCCTGGAGACCCTGTCCTCCGTCCTCACAGCACATCCCTGCAGCCTGTGTTCTCATGAGCACTTCTCGTGCTCTGTAAGAATGCCTCTGGTTCCCTTGTGGCCGCCCAGGCCGTCCACGTCGTCCACGTAATCTCCCATCTCAAGACCCAGCACTTAACCCCATTTGCAAAGTCCCTTTTGCCCTGGAGAGTGGCCGTCACAGGCTGCAGGAATAGGGTGTGGCTGTGGAGCACAGTGCAGTGCGTCTGGTGTTGCTGTGGTAAACTGCGGAAGGGGAGGGAGTCAGCAGCGCAGCCCCTTGCTTCGGCGACCACGTTGCTGAGCCCAAGCTGCAGCGGAGGCCTGCTGGGTAATCTCTCCTCCAGAGGCTGTTCTGGTCGCATCTGCAAATTCCTTTTGCCATGTAGAAAGCAACGTTCATGGACATCCTGTGGGGCCTCAATCAATCTGGATACATCAGCTGATGAGAACATTGTATTTTGAGAAAATATTGAATAGTTTATATATATATATATTCAAAGATTTATTTCTTTATTTGAAAGTCAGAGTTACATAGAGAGAGAAGGAGAGGCAGAGAGAGAGAGAGAGAGAGAGAATCGATCGATCTTCTGTTCGTTGGTTCATGCCCCAGGTGGCCACAATGGCTGGAGTGGCACTGATCTGAAGCCAGGGGCCAGGAACAGGGGCTCAAGAACTCGGACCATCCTCTACTGCTTTCCCAGGCCATAGCAGAGAGCTGGACCGGAAGTGGAGCAGCTGGGAATAGAACCAGCATCCACATGAGATGCCAGCACTGCAGGCGGCGGCTCTACTGGCTACGCCACAGCGTCGGGCCCGAATAGTTTAGACCTTATCGAGGTCAAAGATAAGGCATCTGAGGGACTGGCCATGTGAGCCCATGAGCTCGTTATTGCGGGCATGTCCTGTGGGGTGAGCTGACTGCAGTTTGCATGGAATGTGCTGCTAGTTGGCTCCGTCTGGGGGATACTTGGGACTTGCTAGTAGAATTTTTTTTTTTTTTGACAGGCAGAGTGGACAGTGAGAGAGACAGAGAGAAAGGTCTTCCTTTTGCCGTTGGTTCACCCTCCAATGGCCGCTGTGGCCGGCGCACCGCGCCAATCCGAAGGCAGGAGCCAAGTGCTTCTCCTGGTCTCCCATGCGGGTGCAGGGCCCAAGCACCCGGGCCATCCTCCACTGCACTCCTGGGCCACAGCAGAGAGCTGGCCTGGAAGAGGGGCAACCGGGACAGAATCCAGCACCCCAACCGGGACTAGAACCCGGTGTGCCGGTGCCGCAGGCGGAGGATAGCCTATTGAGCCACGGCACTGGCCCGCTAGTGGAAATCTTTACAGCCTAGTGGGTTTTGTTAGTGTTGGTTGGTGTTCCCATGCTCTGAAAGACACTAATATATATATCTTTTTTAAGATTTATTTATTTATTTGAAAGGCAGAGTTACAGAGAGGCAGAGGGAAAGAGAAGGGGGTCTTCCATCCTGGGGTTCACTCCCCAGATGGCTGCAACAGCCAGAGCTGGGCTGATCCGAAGCCAGGAGCCAGGAGCTTCTTCTGGGTCTCCCACGGGGGTGCAGGGCCCAAGCACTTGGGCCATCTTCTACTGCTTTCCCAGGCCACAGCAGAGAGCTGGATTGGCAGAGGAGCAGCCGGGACTTGAACTGGTGCCCATATGATATGCTGACACTGCAGGTGGTGGCTTTACCTGCTACACCACAGCATGAAAGGCACTAATATTATTAGGTAACTTTTCCTTTATTTTTAAATTAAATGATCATGGTGTAGGAACTGAAAAGCTTGTATTTCTTTATGTGGTGATTGTCCCTCCTTTGTCCTTCTCTTCCGAGGCCTTGGAAGATGGGAGTGCCGTTGGAGCTGCCACAGCGTCTGACTGTGTGTGTCTCTCCTAGGTTGAAGAGATTAGAAACAGCATCGCAAAGATAGCGCAGGACGTGGAGGCCGTGAAGAAGGACCACAGCATCATTCTTTCTGCTCCAAACCCCGAAGGAAGTACGTTGCTGCTCCGGCAAACACTTGTCGGCCTGTGTGCCTCTCTCTTGCTGTCTGCCCACCTGGCTGTACTTCAGGCGGGGCTGGGAACTTGTGAAAAACGCCTGGGGTTCTGGACACGGCGTGGGCGGGGGCAGGGGGCGCTGCGGCTTCTGAAGCTCTGCAGCCTTCCGTGTTCAGCCAGCGTTGGACTCCTGAGTCTGTCCAGAAGAGCTCCCCAGGCAGCCTGTTGTGATGCCAGTCAGACAGCAAAGACAAAGCTGGAGGCGGGGAGCAGTCAGTAAGGGATTGCCTGGGCCGCTTAAAGATGAGGTCAGGCTGCGTGGGTTTCCCAGGTAGGAAGGATAGGCTTCTGTGGAGTGGGCGAGTGCCAGTCCCTGTTGAGAACAGGGAGTAGTGAATGACTGCAGAGGCCACAGGAGCCGCGTTTCCTCGCCTGAGGGGCGTTGGAGACGGGGCGTTTCGGATTTCAGACCCGGGGTGCTCATCCTGCAATATCCTTAGAATAATAAAGACGCTAAGAAACCGCAATGAGAAAACTTTGCTTAGTGTCTCACGTTCATTTACCCAGAACTTTCTGTGTAACATCTGTTACCTTCTTGCTGAATTCTTAGGGAAATTGAATTAATTGAATTTGAGTAAGTATCAGTGCATTTTTCTTTTGAGTAATTTACCTCCAAGATATTTTTGCTGCCAGTAATAGTAGATACAACTATTGTTTGGATAAGTTTAGAGCTGTAAATATTTCACAGTATTCCCTTCTGGGCTCCGACTAAATGTTTGCCTTTTGTGTTTTGTTTTGTGACAGAATGTGAACCAGAATTTCAGAAGCAATGTCCAATTCTTATTACTTGGTCTTTATTTTTTATTATTTTTATTTTTTTAAGATTTACTTATTTATTTGCAAGTCAGAGCCACACAGAGAGAAGAGAGGCAGAGAGAGAGAGAGAGGTCTTCCATCTGATGGTTCACACCCCAAATGGCTGAAACGGCTGGAGCTGTGCCAATCCGAAGCCAGGAGCTTCTTCCGGGTCTCCCACACGGGTGCAAGGGCCAAGGACTTGGGCCATCTTCTGTTGCTTTCCCAGGCCACAGCAGAGAGCTGGATCGGAAGTGGAGCAGCCAGGTCTCGAATTGGTGCCCATTTGGGATGCTGGTGCTTCAGGCCAGGGCGTTAACCCGCTGCGCTACTGTGCTGGCACCTCTACTTGGTCTTTAGACAGCAAATTATTACAATTACTCTTGTCTTCCAGTAGTGGGTCCTGGGAAAATGTGCCCAGGGTAATGACTGTGGGGGTTTCTGTCCCCTCCCAGCCCCTGTTTCTAAGGAGAGGAGGGGCCCTGACTCCGGTCTGGTCGGGGAGGGGAAGTTGGGCTCCATTCCTCCAAGCTCCTCCCACCAGACGGCATCTTTCTTTGAGATAAACATGTGAAGCTGATAATGTCATTTAATTGATTTTAGAGCAGTGGATGTTGAGTTTAGGTTAAGCAGTTGGTGTAAAGTCTCCAGACCCTTGATTGCTGAGCAGACACCAGGCAGTTTTGACCCCGCAGCCAGCTCGCCTGCCCAGTCTACTGTTTCACCCTGAGGCCTGGGAGTGCCTCCCTGTGACGCTGTGTCCTGAGTGTCCGGAGCTTTCTGAGCCATAAGCTGCTGTCATCTAGCAGCCTCATACACCTATGACTTTGCGTACCTGTCCCGTTGTCTCCTTGCCCTGGATCCCCGGGAATGTGTATGCTAGACCAAAGGACTTGCGCTGTTAAACGTTCTTTTCAGATACCTAGGTTGAAGGTTTTAAGTCAGTGGCAGAGCTGCAGTTGTGGTAAAAACTCTCATTTCCTTCATCTTGACTTGCACAGCATCCCATATGGGAAAGCAGTAGAAGATGGCCCGAGTGCCTGGGCCCCTGCACTCGTGTGGGAGACCTGGAGGAAGCTCCTGGCTCCTGGCTTCGGCCTGTCGCAGCCTCAACTGTTGCAGCCATTTGGGGAGTGAACCAGCAGAAGGAAGATCTCTGTCTGTTGCTGTGCCTTTCTTTTCTTTTCTTTTCTTTTCTTTTCTTTTCTTTTCTTTTCTTTTCTTTTCTTTTCTTTTCTTTTCTTTTCTTTTCTTTTCTTTCTTTCTTTCTTTCTTTCTTTCTTTCTCTCTCTCTCTCTCTCTCTCTCTCTCTCTCTTTCTTTCTTTCTTTCTTTCTTTCTTTCTTTCTTTCTTTCTTTCTTTCTTTCTTTCTTTCTTTCTTTCTCAGGCAGAGTTAGAGAGAGAGAGATAGAGAAAGGTCTTCCTTTTTCCGTTGGTTCACCCCCAAATGGCTGCTACGACTGGCGTGCTGTGCTGATCGAAGCCAGGAGCCAGGTGCTTCCTCCTGGTATCCCATGCGGGTGCAGGGCCCAAGCACTTGGGCCATCCTCCACTGCACTCCTGGGCCACAGCAGAGAGCTGGCCTGAAAGAGAGGCAACCAGGACAGAATCTGGCGCCCGGACCAGGACTAGAACCTTGAGTGCTGGCGCCTTAGGCGGAGGATTAGCCTAGTGAGCCGCGGTGCCGGCCTCTTTTTCTTTTTTTAAAAATTTTTATTTATTTGAGAGCTAGAGTTACAGACAGTGAGAGAGAGAGAGAGAGGTCTTCCATCTGCTGGTTCACTCCCCAAATGGCCTCAATGGCCAGAGCTGAGCTGATCTGAAGCCAGGAACCAGGAGCTTCTTCTGGGTCTTCTATGCTGGTACAGGGGCCCAAGCATTTGGGCCATCTTCTACTGCCTCCGCAGGCCATAGCAGAGAGCTGGAGCAGTGGGATCTGGAACCTGCTGCCCATGTGGGATGCCTGCGCCGCAGGTGGCAGCTTTACCCACTACACCAGAGCCCTGTAGCTGTGCTTTTCAAATAAATAAAAATAACTCTTCAAAAAAAAAAAAAAAAAGTGAAATGGCCAAACTGCTGTGAAGGAGATATAAATGGAAACAGTTTACATATTGAAATACAGAATGCATGACTACACTAAACAACAAATTTCAGCTGTTTCCTTGTAGTCAAAGAATGCTTGTGAATGTGACAGCTAAAATGCAAACAGATGGAGCTGTATTGTCTTGGAGATTTAGATACCCAGCATGTCAGCAAAGCTGCTACCTGTTTCCTCCTGAGTCAAATGGCTCCCCTGCAGGGTGCCATTCTAGAGCATGCCCTCTTGATTGATTGCCTGATGTGTTTGTTTCTAATCTCTTAGCAAACTGAGAATCCTTGGTGATCTTTATACCTTCCCTAGATGACACAAGTCTAACGTGCATGCACAGTACTCAGAAAATGTTTATGGAATTGTGGGATTGTTACTGGTGCATGACCTTTCACCTCTGGAGAATAATGGTACCTGATCTGGCTCTGCAGTGCCAGGATCCCTGAGGATGAGGGTGGCTCCTTAGCTGGCAGTAACAAGGTTGAGCGACAGCACCAGCATTTGGGGCCTACAGCACACAGTAGGTACCCAGGACAAATGTATATGCCTTGGTCAGACAGTGACAGCAGAAGAAAAAACCAGACACATGGGAGGGACGCCCCCTCCCCCCCAACAAAAGATGACTGAATCTTTGCTTCACTTTTTCAGACCTGGGTGTTAGCTGTGGGTCTGGTAAACTATTTCATCAAATAGTTGACATAAACCAGCTATTCTCAGACTTTGGTGTGTGCTGTCATCATGAGGAGGTCAAGTTAAATCTGGTGCCCTGACCCCACTCCAGCTACGTTTCTGACTGGGTGCTCCTATAGGTCAAGTTAAATCCGGTGCCTGGACCCCACCCCAGCTATGTTTCTGACTGGGTGCTTCTGCTGAATCTGCCTCATGCACTTTGGAGGGCCCTGGTACCACCAAGAGTTTGTGTTTTTTTTTTTTTTTTTTTTTTTAGATTTTATTTACTTATTTGAGAGGTAAAATTACAGAGAGACAGACAGACAGAAAGGTCTTCCATCTGCTGGTTCACTCCACAAATGGCTGCAATGGCCAGAGCTGAGCTGGAGCCAAGAGCTTCTTCCCAGCCTCCTATGTGGATGCAGGGGCCCAAGCACTTGGGCCATTTTCTACTGCTTTTCTAGACCATAGCAGAGAGTTGGATTGGAAGAAGAGCAGCCGGAACTAGAACTGGCGCCCATATGGGATGTTGGTGCTGCAGGTGGAGGCTTAGCCCACAACGCCACAGTGTTGGCCCCAAGAGTGTTTTTTTTTAAATATATATTTGTTTAAGAATTTATATTTAGAATGTACAAAGTATTCTTTTTTAGAGATTTATTTATTTATTTTGAGAGAGAGAGAGGGAGAGACAAAGAGAAATCTTCCATCCACTGGTTTACTACGCAAATAGCTGCAACGGCCAGTGTGGGGCCAGGCCAAATCCAGCAGCCAGGAGCTTCATCTGTGTCTCCCATGTGGGTGGTAGGGGCCCAAACATTTGGGTCAGCCTCCACTGCTTTCCCAGGCCATTAGCAGGGAGCTGGATCAGAAGTGGAGCAGCTGGGACTTGAACCAGCGCCCATGTGGGATGCTGGCACTGCAGGTGCCACAACGCCGGCCCCAAAAGCTTTTCTTACAGAGAAAGAAAAATAGACTTAAATGTACTAAGAGTGCTGTTTCATTTAAATTTATTGAATATTATTTATGTTGGATGTCATAGCTGAGATACCTTATGTTACATTTTTAAAGAAATAAAAGAAGAGCTTGAAGATCTGAACAAAGAAATCAAGAAAACTGCTAATAAAATTCGAGCCAAATTAAAATGTAAGTGTGAAGTTTATTGATCATGGGAATATGAGTAATTGTTATTTTTTTCTTTACAGTTTTTCTTTTCCATTTTCTTTAAAAATTACTTGCATATATTTGAAAGTCTTAATTTATATCCAATAAGATTGTTTGCTTACAATCATTATACTATTACATGATGATATGGTGGGCTAACTGCAGATACTTGAGAAGGGGAATTTGCCTTGAAAGTGAACTGCCAAGTTCTTGAATGACTCCCTTAGTTGATGAGTTCTTTCCAACTTTCTTGATAAGCTAAAGACAAATTATATTTACTTTTTACAGAATGTCATTGAAATCAAGAACAGTCTTCGTAGATTTCATTATGGAAAAGCTGGACTCTCAGAAGCAGACAGCTGCTTCCTGGGCCGACCGCTGGGCCGTGCGGTCCCCTGGGCACTGGGAGGCAGATGGCGGACCCTGGGCTTCCTCAGCTACGTCCCACTCCAGCCCATGGCAGTTATTTGGTCTCCAGTAGTTTGACGCTGCTGCTGACCCTGTGCCTGAACTGGGCCCCGAATCAGGGCTCTGCACTGTGGTTGGTGGATGGCTCTTTTGGGTCAGGTTTCCCTCCGTCTTCCCCAGCCCTTTCTCCTTGGTTGAGGAACCGCAGGCGTTCGTCTCAGCGTGTGCTGCTGCTTGTGTGCCGCCTCACGGTGTCCCTGTCCCTGCTGCTGTGCTTGTCATTAGTTCTTCAAGCTTGATCAGATTCAGGTGGCTTTGTGGGCGCAATGTTAGGATGCAAGATCTGACTGCAGATCTGTGTGTTGACGGCTACATTGAGATGTTGATGGTTGGGGCAGTGGTGTGGTATGCTTGCATCCCTACTCTGTGCTTCTAACTCAGTTTCCTGCTAATGCTCCTGGGAGACAGCAGGTGATGACCCAGATTCTTGGGTGGGAGACTAGAGGTGGGAGACGAGGTGGAGTTCTTGGCTCCTGGCTTCAGCCTGGCCTAGCCTTGGCTATTGCAGGCATTTGGGGTATGAATCAGTGGATTGAAGATTGGTCTCTCTCCATCAATCAACCTATCAAATAGTTTTTTTTAAAAATGTAAATGGTTGCATTAAGATGTAACATTCTATTTCATTGTATTATCAATGACTGATGATCATTCCAAGATCCATACATTTATTAGGAGTCTGAAGCAGTGATATCCTGACTTTACTATTCCCTCTTGGTTTAGTAGCTGGGGTAGTTCCTTATTTTAAACAATTAATAAATCAATTAGAGAAGCAGAGGGGGAGAGAGGCAGACAGAGAGGGAGCTCCTCTTTGTTGTCTTAGTGCTCAGGTGCCCACAACGGCTGGGGCTGGGGCTGAAGCTGGAAGCCTGGAGCTCAGTCCGGGTCTCCCACGTGGGTGGCTGAGACCCAACAACTTGAGCTATTACCTGTTGCCTTTGGTTTCGTTTTTATTATTTTTAATTTATTTGTTTAAAAATTTATTTTATATACTCGAAAGAGTTACACAGAGAGAGAGAGAGACAGACAATTTTCATCCATCCACTGGTTCATTCCCCAAATGAGTGCAATGGCCAGGGCTAGGCAAGGCTAAAGCCAGGAGCTTGGAACTCCATCTGGGTCTCCCAGGTGGATGGCAGGGGCCCAAGTGCTTGTGGCGTTATCTGCTCCTCCCTGCTGCCTCCTAGGGTCTGCACTGTAGGAAGCTGAACTCAGGAGCTAGGGCTGGGAATTGAACCCAAAGACTCTGATGCGGACTGTAGGCATCTTAACCTCTAGGCCAGATGCCCACCCCAGGAATAGTTCTTTATGAAGAAACTTTTGTCTTCACTGTGTGGGCTGTCTGAGTTACAGATTCCACGGGAGAGACAGGATTAGTGCTAGATTCTTCTGTGTGGTTTCTGTGGGCTGTTAGCTAACCATTGAGACTTTCTGTTGTTCCTCTTGGTGGGTGTGTGGACGCAAACATACCTGGTGTGTTTGCCTTGCTGCAGTTAACCTTAAAACTCATGTTCCCGACTCTGAGCAGGGTGCTGCCGCCTGAGTCCTGTCGATGCCCTGTTGGCATGGCCAGGTGACCCTTGCCCATTCCTGCGTTTCCTGCCCCGGGTCTGGGCCAGCTGCTTTCTCAGGAGGCTGCTCCCTTAGCTGAGAGGGACGATCAGAGCTGCGAGTGGCATACTGGGAATATGGCGTGGTGCAGGTCTGGGTCTTTTTTCCTTCAATGGACAGAGCTAGAACTCTTTTTTTTTTTTTTTTTTTTTTGAGTGATAAAATAAACCATGATTTTTTATTGCAGTTCTGCAAATTAGAGAACTAAGGCAGGGTTTTTGCTTAACTGAGAGGCATTGCATTTTTCCCTTCTTCTAGCCATGCCTGAAATCCTAGCTTTCCTAATATTCATTCTTTTTGCCCTAAAAACACACCAGATCCAAAATAACTATGCCAACACTTACCGTCAAGTGTGGGTTACTTAAAATGTCTGTAGGTGTTTCCCACTGGGTTGTACAGATTGTTTTGTTTTAAAGTCACGTTCAGTGGTGGTTCTCTGTGTGATTTTGCTGTTAAATAGACCTACTGTTAGATTTCCTTATTTCATTTTTCTTTTGACTTTTAAGGATTACTTTTTTAAAAACTTAATTTTGTGTTATAGTTATGTGAATTATCTGTGTCACACAAATCTGTAAAATAAAACATATTCAACGAAGTCTAGCTTCTTTCTGTCCCTGTCCCCACCTTATTTTGCCTTTCCCACTGATGCCTTTTTTTTTTTTGCTAAAGTTTGTGGGTTACCTTTCCATTTCTCCCCCCCATGGGTAACTATGTTTGCATGTATACTTACATATGTGTGCACACACACACAGCCATCAGGAGCAGTGAAACACTTTTCTCTTGATGGATAGTCTTTTTTTGGCCGGCGCCGTGGCTCACTAGGCTAATCCTCCGCCTGGCGGCGCCGGCACACCGGGTTCTAGTCCCGGTCGGGGCGCTGGATTCTGTCCCGGTTGCCCCTCTTCCAGGCCAGCCCTCTGCTGTGGCCCGGGAGTGCAGTGGAGGATGGCCCAGGTGCTTGGGGCCCTGCACCCCATGGGAGACCAGGAAAAGCACCTGGCTCCTGGCTCCTGCCATCGGATCACCGCGGAGTGCCGGCCGTAGCGTGCCGGACCCCGCAGCCATTGGAGGGTGAACCAACGGCAAAGGAAGACTTTTCTCTCTGTTCTCTCTGTTCTCACTTGGCCACTCTGGCCGTTCACCATGACCCAACTGTGAAATTGAAACTGATCGCCTGGTACTCTGAGATGGCATTGTTACATGCCCCCTTCATGGGATTGAATTGGAAACCCCTGGATATGTTGTCAACTACTCCACTTGGGGTCAAGTCATCGCTGAGAGTTGTCCCCAAATTATTACCTTCTCTTTCCCTCTCCCATTTCACACCACCATTGTTCGAGAAGGGAGCACCACTTTACAGTTAAATTATCCAACACTTTAAGAAAT